AATTGGGATTTTGCAGAGCCCTGAGAAACCACACTTTAAGAAACACCACCTTCCTGGTTCATCAAGTTCCTGCTCCTTGCAGAAAGTCCTTCTCCTGCATCACTGTGAAACACATCAGAGCCCTTGCAGCTGACCGTTGCAACTGACCGAAGTGGACCGTCCGGCAGACAAGATGGATTTCAGTCCCAAGCTGAGGTCCTCCCCATTAACTGGACAGATGATTAACACATTCGGGCAACCAGATCTGCGTTGCAACAGTGCAGACTGGACAACCCTCCCCCATGACTGCCCACTTTTTTACAGCCCCAATCTGGTGCCCTTAAATCAGCGTTTCTCATCCCTGGCAGCTTTAGGATGTGTGAACTTCAACTCCCAGAATTCCCCAGCCAGCATGGGAGTTGAAGTCCACGCATCTTAAAGCTGCCAGGGTTGAGAAATACTGCCTGAACTCAATTAACTATAAAGTGAATTTTAACGCGTGGACAATGCACAGGGCTAGATTCTGTCTTCTACTGCATGTCTGAATCCTGCAGCTGTTGCTGTGCAGGAAGAGGGCTCTGTGCAGCCCTGGCTTGCCTCTGCCCTGTGACTCATTCCTGCAAGCTGGCAGGGCACGTTCTCTTGACTTGAGTCCTGCGTCCGGGGCGTGGCTGGGGAAGCTGGAAAGTCACAAAATTGGCACCTGCGTAGGAGGAAGAGGCAGGTGGTGCGAGGAGGTCAAGCAAGTCCAGCGTGGCTCCTTCTGGGGTTAGCGGCCAGACATCTTTTGAATGTGGGAGACAACTAGGGAGCCCGGAAAGGACAGGAGAGACCCTCCACCGGATTAAAACCCCGGTGAAAAACCCTGCAGGGGGTCAAAGACACCTCCCCTTTGCTAGATAACAATCTGCTTTTCGTTTCACCCTTTGACAATGTTATAATAAAACCTGCCCAGAGTCTCTGGATCAGGTAGAAGGTGTGATTGACAGAGAAATCAACCAAAATAAATTAAGGGCTGGGTTCACACCTCCTGCATAACCAGATTCTGAGAAGGCCCAAGGGGGCTGTATATATACAGTATGTTAAACTTGGTTACTTAAACTTCAGCTCAATTCTTTTTCCCCCTGCGCGAACCCACCCATTGGGAAAATTGAGGATTCAAGCTTGCATCACACAACACTCTTAATGTAGTTCCTGGATTAACCCCACCGGGGTGTCCGTGGAGGGAGGGGGGTCAAAATAGCAGCTGTGACCATGTAAGGAAAAGACCACCCCTTTTTAGGTGGGGTGCTTAAAGGGGCTTCGATCATGCCATCTCCTGCCCCAGTCCCTGTCATCATTATGATTGAGTGAAACCACATTCTGAATGATCAGCTGACCCAACAGGCTGGCTTTGCACAGCTTGTGTCTGGACCAGACAGGGTTGGGCAATTGGTCGTTCAAGGGATAATGCAGCAATTAACCTTGCATGAACCCCCGTGAACCCAGGATCTCTGCTCATTCAGTTTAGTACACTGGGTAAACCCAAACCAGACAACTCCATCAGGAAGAGATCAATGACCCCAGAGAGGTTAGTTTCCTGCTGCAACAGTGGACAGGCAGATCTCCTGGGAAGCTAACCGCAAGGTCCAGCAGCTTCCCCACATCTGTCTTTCCCAGCAATTCCCATTCAACACCCTGCTGCTTCTCTGCTCTTCGAAGATCATCCAGCGTCATCCGGAATCAGTTGCCCCCCATGCTAAAGGCACCCCTTGAGACCCATCCCTACATCTGGTGGTAGAAAATGCCCTGCATCGTTCCAGTTTTTCTTCCAGATGTTTAAAGGTGCCATTTCTGCCTCTCTCCTTTTATCTCCTTGCAGGAAAGAGAGGCCCACTTCTCTCCTCGGGGCTGTTCTGCTGCTGGCCCAAGGAGTAAGGCCCGCACTGGTCCTGATCCTGACATTCATGCCTCCTTCCAGGAAACCCAGCTTGAAAACGAGAGATCAGCCACAGAAAACCCAACCTGGAGATGCATGGCTTGGAGAAGGAGTTGCTGAGCCTGCCTCCCTTCGTCCTCCCCGGCTCGTCCTCCTGCCCCTGCCTCAGTCCCTCTGCTGCTGGGCATCGGCCACCTTCCCGCACTGAGCCGTCCATTTTCTTGGCCTGGCCACAAGGTGCTGAAAACTTGCCTTCACACCACACCCGCAACCAGGTCAGGTGCAGCTCCGTTTGCAACCTGTGCAAAGTTTGGTTCGTGCTAACGTGGGTTCAGTCTCCTTGCGGTTTAGCATGGGGGGAAACCCAGACCAGTTAAGGTTCAGTGTCTTAAACAGGGGTAAGGGAGCTGTGTGAATGCAGCAGAAAATGTGGAAGACTTTGTAAGCGCACCCAAGTTTTGAGCAGGCCTCTTTCCTGCCCCACAGGATCAGAACTGACCATTTCTCAGGGAGCATTAGCTAGACCAGTGTTTCTCAACCGTGGCGACTTTAAACTGTGTGGACTTCAACTCCCAGAATTCCCC